TTTTTTGTGCACCGGGCCTCTAGTATATAATAAAATCCTAATATGCAAATTGACCGAAAAGCTTAACAACTGGCGTAACGACTGGGCATTATGACATGCACTGACCACCAGGGGGCAGACGCTCAATGCATGAGCTTCCCCCGACCAGCATCTGCCCCCAAGAGGGAGGAGAGTGGCGGGGGAGGGCCAGCGAGTGGGCGGTGCCAGGCCACCAGCCAAGGTGGCTGTCAACAAGGGCCCCCAATCGCCCCGCCCACCGGTCGCCCCACAAATCGGCCCTGATCACCAGCCAGGCCTAGGGACCCTACCCTATATATTGGGAACAGTCTCTTAGATTTAAAAATTAAAACCTGGCAAGGCTACTCTAACACTGAAAAAAAACAGGATGATGCAGCAATAACATGCATGGACTCTGATCTGCACATTGTGTGGTCAGCCCTGATTCTGACACCTGTAACTGTGTGACAAAGCCAATTCTCTCTGCTTCAGTTTTTCCATCCATAAGATGGGGAAAATGGTACTACTGCCTCAGAAGGATCATGTTATGTACTACTTTTTATAATCAGGAGAAAAAAATGTAGCTGCCCATACAACAGCAAGATGCCTTTCACCTGAATAAAAAGCATGATTACTGGTGCATACAGCATCCTGGATTGCGAGAGGGGTGTCCGACTGCCGGTTTAGGCCCGACATTCCCCGAGGGGTCCCAGATTGCGAGAGGACACAGGTCTGGCTGAGGCCTCTAAAAGTAAATAATCTTGAACATAGAGAGTTTCTAATTTAAAAGTCCAATATATTATGCTATGGAAACATAAAAAAACTACATTCATCTAATTTTAGAAATTCATACTCCTTAACAAGTGATTCAGAAAATATGTAAAACTGGTTTTTGTGTTATTTCATGTGAATATAAATCATGAATATCCAGTTAATAAAGTAAATATGTACTGAAAGAATTTGACCTATTTACTACAACTTTAAGAAATGTTATCATTTTGCCCAGCCAGTGTGCCTCAGTAGTTGAGCATTGACCCATGAACCAAGAGGTCACCAGTGTGATTCTGGTCAGGCACATGCCTGGGGTTGCAGCCTCTATTCCCAGTAGGGCATGTGTAGGAGGCAGCCTATTGATGCTTCTTTCTCATCAATGTTTCTATCTATCTCTCTCCCTTTCTGTCTCTCCGAAAAATCCTATTAATAAAAGCCTATGTGGTCATCATGCCCTCATGCCATGACACCCTCACACCGCAACGAGAGATCACCAAGAGACTGTGTGCACAAAGGGCACGCGCGGGTGGGTGGGGCTGCATGCGCACGTGGGTGGGCAGGGGCTTGACACTGCATGCGTGGTGCAAAGGCAGGGCCTGTGGCTCTGTGCAGCGAGGCTTGGGGGTCCCATGGTGCGGAGGCAGGACCCCCGGCTCCAGCCTACCTCTTTGGGGAAACACATTGAGGAGCCCCGGATGAGTGGGAGGGGCCTACGTCCTTGGGGCGATAGATCGCGGGGATCCCGCACTGTGAGAGGGCACAGGACAGGCTGGGGGACCCCCCGCCAAGTGCATGAATTTCGTGCACTGGGCCTTTAGTTAAAAATAAACATATTTTAAAAAATATATCATTTAATTAAATGAATTTAAGTGCCCTTCTTTCATTTCTTTCTATTCTAAGCAAGACAGCTGGCAAGTTTTTTAAAAGGAAAACACAAGACTTAAGGGAGGTGGAAAGGTGGACAATAACAAGGAAACCTCGAATATGGCTGAATGGAACCGTGTTTATCACTAACTAGTCAAACTAGTTGGTGTATTCACATGGGTTTGGGGGTTGTAAAGACAGAACATGAAGCAGGTAAGCTGCTCAACTGACAATCTTACTATCCTTTTCCTTCCTAGTAATACATTACATGTTCTGAGACTCTGGGCCAACAAGCAGATAAACTGTAATGCTACATCAACCTAACCGCATGTGATAATGCAGACAGGGAATTTAGTAGATGGGCATTCAGAGGCAGAGGTGGGTGACCTGGTTGCATAAGTCCATGGATCCTGATGAAACACTGATAGAAAGATGGCAGCTGATCCCTAAAATAGAAGGTAGAGTTTTCATAGGTAGGAAGACCTTAGGACTGCCTGCTTTATTTAATGTATATTTCACAATGTCTAAAACACGAACATTTTATATCTCATTTTGAATCAAAACATTCTTATAAATTGTGCAATACTGAAGTGAAATGCTTCTGATGTTTAAAACAGGCAAAACTGGTTCCATCTAAATCGGATTTCTTTCACTCACACTAAATTCAAAATTTACCAACACTTAAATGTACGCCGCCTCTGTTACAAATGTCAAACATCTAATTTATCAATACAAAAACTTAAAAGAAAAGTAAGTAGAAAAATATGGTATAATCTTCTTTCCTATCATTGAAATGGTTTATCTACATTTTCTAAAAAATGGAACAATGACACAAAATACAATACCTTCTGGAAGTGTTTCTCTCAAATGTTAAAATAATGGGTCCTGAGAACAGAATTCTGAAATAGCTCACAATCCAAACAATTCCTGAAAATTAAGAGAAATAAGTGTTACTTCAAGTGCATCTTATCTTTAAAAAAACAAATAGTATGTTTTACAACAAAATCCTAACTACTGACTAAAATAAACTAAACTCAGAAAACAAACAAGATTTATGGCAAGATAAAAATATTCTTAACTATACATGCTTTCCTTGGGCATAGCTGTTGACCAAATCTGATTTAAAAAAACCTGCATTATAAAATTATTTACCAAAATAGACTTGTTTTTATTACATTTTTATAGTAGTCAACAGAGAGTTTGAAACAACCCCCTTTTTTTTTTCTTGACCACTGGGAACAAAAGTTGTTAAACTCAGAATTAGAATCATCCTAGATCTAGAATGGCATCAACTTGTGGGAAAGTTTATACTTTCAGGAACAAAACAGTGGGTGAAATGTTTTGGGCAAGAGGCACAGTCTCCATTTAATACTGTGGTAGCTGAGGAAACTTCACATTGATCAGCAGGCCAAGGACAGTGAAGCTAGTTGGAGATAAAGAAGGCATGATACAAACTCCCTGGCTCCATTACAGCAGCATTCCATTTATATCAGTCACTGTCCTTATATCTGTTTTACATTTCTAGAATTCTCAATTTCTATCCTATAACCTATAACTTATACTCATAAATGATAGCTTAGCCCAGAAATAGGTCCATAAACCTGAACTTTAACCTCTCAAAATAAAGTAGCTATTTTACTTATTTCTTCATTTTACCAGTGGTCATTAGTCTCCCTAAAACCATACATGGGTACCAAATGTCTGAGAGATGCTTCCTCAATACCCTAGGAGGGAAGGCTCTTCAACCACTGTAACTCTAAGTCACTGTCTCTATATCTTGCTTATTGTCATTCTCCCTGTGAACTTTTCATTCATCTTTGAATCTCCCAATACCTAGCATGATGCAAGGTACAGAGCAGATGCTCAGTAATTGTTTTAATAAGCCACTGAATCTTAGAAATGTTATCAATTATTATACCATGCTGAAATAAAAAATACCATAAAAGAAAGTTATATGGTTCAACTACAAGGGACAATAGTTGCCTTTCTTTAAAAAAGAAACAAAAAAACATTTTTATTGATTTCAGAGAGGAAGGGGGGGCAGAGAGAGAGAGAGAGAGAAACATCAACGATGGGGGAGGAATTATTCATCAGCTGCCTCCTACACAGCCCACACTAGAAATCAAGCCCGTAACCCAGGCATGTGCCCTGACCGGGAATCGAACTGTGACCTCCTGGTTCATAGGTCGATGATCAACCACTGAGCTATGCTGGCCGAGCATACTTGCCTTTCTTTTAATTACTTCATTCTTTCTCTTTCTCTCTCTCATCTTCCCCCCCCCCCCCCCCCCCCCCCCCCCCCTCTCCCC